CAGCTATCAGTGGGTGAGCATCATTCATACCCACAGGCCTATGCAGTTGGTGGGGTTCAGCATCTAAAGGCAGGTCATACATATTTTGACAGTGGATATGCCATACAGCCAGAGCATGTGGATGAGGTGGTGGAGTGGCTAACCAAGTTTCATCATGATCCTCCTACTCTTTCAGGCACAGAGTAGCTTGGAGTTATCAGTAGCTGCTAAAGCACCCTGTGCTGCCACCTTACCACAGTTATTCCTAATGTTGCCCTGCCAAATGGTATGGAGGAATCAGATGAGTTATTTGAACACATTATAAGCCACTTGTTGCAAGAGGATGCACAGTAATTAATTACATCTGAGGTTGGGGAGGAGAACAATGGGAACACAGATGGAGGAGACAACTATCAAGGAGAACGAATTGGCACAAATGTTCCAGAACGAGGGGAGGTGATGATGAGGTCTCTGACTGTACTTGGGTGCCATATATAGGAGAGTATATATAGTGAGAAACAAACAGGAGGAGGGGTATCCACCACAATGAGAAGAATCAGTCCAAGTCTGTATTAAGGCTTTAAGAACATAAGGAAACTCTGTTAAATCCAGAGATGCCCAGATGCTTGACTCAGTGGCAGCTGCTGCTAGGAGAGCTAGAAGTAACTCTGCATACACATAAAAACAAAGGGAAAGAGCAGCACCTTCTAAGTCACTTACGCCACACTGGGGGACCTAGACTCACCAGGAAGTGCTAGGAGCCACCAGCACAGTCGAGGGCAGATTGGAATCCACCACCAGTGGGATTAGTGGAACTAGACTAGCAACACTGTAGCTGTGTTCTCAGCTATATAAGTGATTGGTGTTCTCAGCTATATAAACACTTTTACCAGTTATTTTTGTGAGTTTCCATTTCTTTGTTTAATAAAGTCATTGCTGTTATGCTACACTTAGAAGATGCTGCCCTTTCTCTTTGTTCTTAAGAAAGTGAGTTAGAGGCTCAATATCAGTGAGGCAGGATGTTATCCAGAGGCAGATCATTTAGGAGTGGCGAGAGAAATGTCCTATCCCACTGCATGACAGAGCTCTATTGAAGCACGGCATGCTTATTACCTGGTCTACCAGAGGTTAGCTACATTGGCCTGTTTAAACACATGTGCTGTAGACAATACTGTAGTAATTTGCCATTTCTGCCTAAAGTGTATCAAGGTTGGCACTAATATTAGTCATTTGGGTACTATATGTATTTATGTTTATTTATTCATTACAGGTACTATATATAACTCTGTCAATTTAACATTTTAGATGTATACATTATACATTCACATCAGTCCCTGCCCACAAGGAGCTTACAGTTCAACCTCCCTGGCGGTATTCCTCGTAGCTTGGGGTAAAGTTTCGGTACCACAAGCGGTAACCCCAAGCTACCCTCAGGAATACCTTGCAGCGCTGCTCCGGGATCTGTTCTTCTCTCACCTTGTCCTGCGCTCCCGCAATGTCCCTCCTGCAGTGTCCCCTGCAATGTCCTCCGGCGGATGCCGGCATCTTCCTTCTGGGTTCCGTCCCCTGCGACGTCAGGACTTACAGGGGACGGAACTGGCGGGAAGTTTGAAAGTTGTAAAAGTGACATTCACTAAACTCACTAAAATAACATAGTAAAACATTACTGTATCAACCCATTTCACATACATTTTGTCCCTAGTGCTTTATCCTGTGCCCTGCCTGTTTTTTTACTGTTCTTTCTGCCTGGAAACTGAGAAAAGTCCATGGCGTCCAAAAAGCGTTCCTTTAGGTCAAAAGCGGTTTTAGGCCAGCTAGAGAACAGCGATAGTAAATTAGAATCACTTGCACAATTGAGTGATAATAATTTGTAGGGAAATTCATCATCAGACACTGAAAATGATTTTGAGACTTTGCTCAGTGATGTGCGAACTTGGCGCTCTATTTCAAATTTCAGTGTTTTTGGTTGGATTATATTATTTAAATAAATTTATTATAATTATTATTTATGATTATTTAATAAATTATAATTTATAATTTCGTGTTTCAAATTTTAACATACCCGGAATGTTTACTAGACTCTTGTTCGGAGAGATTTCAGTTATTCCTAAAAATTACAGGTCTACAATAAAAAAAATACATATTTCCATGCAAAAAAATGTACTGCTTTGAGCACAGAAATATGGACATAATCAGATCGCTAGGGAGGTTAAGTTCCCTAACTCACATTCATACATACACATAATAGCACAAATTTAGACAGGAGCCAATTAACCTACCAACATGTCTTTGGAGTGTGTGAGGAAATTGGAGTAGCTGAAGGAAACCCACACAAGCACAGGGAGAATATGTAAACTCCAGGCAGGTAGTGCTATTTGTATGAAAAGACTTTTACTACGTAACTTGCTGGGAGCAGCAGCTGAATGCTAGCCATTGGTAAGAGATGGGCTGCACTCTTCTTCCTTCCAGCTCCTCCTCTTCCACAATACAAGACACCCCATCAGCAGTTATCAGTGATAGGGAACAAACTGATAAGACCACCTCTTCCCTTCGTCATGTGAAAATGTTAGTTGTTAGTGGTATTGCCCCTGAAAGCCCCTGGCCCAGATGGTTTCACACTAAATTATTATAAATGTCTGATTCCTCCACATACCTCTTATTTTGTAAAAGCCTTCAATGCAGTGTGGGTTGATTTAGTGTTTTCACTGAAAACACTAAGTGCTCATATTATCTTAATTCCCACATAAGGGACTCTATTGTCAAAATTACTGCCCAATGTACCTATTAACCACCTCCCGTCTGGCCATTGTATATAGACGGCCAGATGGTGGCAGTTCAGGGGCGGGTCCCCGCCTTCCCGCCCCCTGCTTGTGTGCGTTCCCTGGGAGCGCGCACCACCGCAGTGGAACACACCGGACACAGTGGAACACCGATCGTCGTACAATACTTCTGTGCGAGGTCCCGATCATGTGATCACTGATTGGCCAATCAGTGATCACATGCAGAGTAGTAAGCAAGATGTCACTTCTGATATCATAGCTTACTACGTGTGACATCTGTGAATGATCACAGAGGTCACATGGTACAAGGCTATTCCCAACAGCCTTGTACCATGTAAAGCCTTTATGGGTGTAAAAACAATCAGTGTGAAAAAAAAAATCTTCATCACCCCCCACAAGTAGTGCAGTGTCACCATGGTGACACTGTACTGCTAGGGTGACAGTATGTAAAAAAAAATAAACATAAATAATATAAAAAAATAAAATAAAAATGTAAAAACAATTTTTAAAAAAGTATAATTTTTGGTTATAAACTAATTTGGGTTATTTGTTTTTTACTAAAAAGATAACTGAATACATTTTGGCCAAGCTTTATGATGAAATATTATTTATTTGCAAAATTGTATAAGAAAAACACTTTTTTTTCAAAATTTTTGGACTTTTTTATTTATATAGCAAAAAAAAAATGTAAATCCCAGTGGTGAATAAATACCACCAAAATAAAGCTTTATCTCTCTCAAAAAATGCTAAAAAATTCATATGGGTACAGTGTTGCATGACTGTGCAATTGTCATTCAAAGTGTGATAGCGCTGAAAGCTGAAAATTGCCCTGGACAGGAAGGGGGTAAAAGTGCCGGGACATGAAGTGGTTAAACGCAGACTTTTTTTACAAAGCTTCTGGCGAATAGACTTGCAATGGTAATTAAAAATATTGTTCAGGAGAGCGCATGCCTGGGCGGCTGGAGAGGATGCTGTGATCCCTGCTTTGCACCTTCCCAGAGCTTTAGGGAAGATAAATAGTGCACCCTGACCCTCTTCGACCGGACCGGACTACTCACCCAGTCAGCTTGGGGAGTAGGTGGGGGACCTCTGATTCTCACCCGGCCAGCTGGACGATCAACGCTCCCACACGGCCGCATTAAGGAAAGGAAGAGGAGGCAAGATGACGTCAGATCCCGGATCCCAGAGCGCCTCCACTTCAGAGGGGAAGATGCATTTGACACAGAGGGCTCAGCTCTCCCCATCCAGCCCTGCCACCTGCAGTGACGGCTCCCCAGAGTCCCAGGCCAAGATTCTGCTCCTGATGGTTCAGTTCTCTCCCCTGCTCCTCCAGATGTACCCCAGCACTGCTCAGAGAACTCTGTTCTCATTGCTCGTTTTGCTGATTTGCTTCAGAGGGAATAAGAAAAAGCTAGCACTAAACTGACCTTTATAAGTCAATATTGTTAGTTTGTACTGTTGTGCGTTGTGTTATAATATGTGTTTGACATATTTGGTCAATGCAATATCACCATATTTGGTCAGTGATGTAATTGCTATCTCCACCTCACCTCAGATGTCATATGTAGTGGTGGTAGAAATAACACGACTATATATGACATTTGCCTCTGACTGAATAAGAAAAATATATGGCATTTGGACAAATGCCTGAACAGCCAAATTTTGGTCTGAACTTGTATTTGGACTGAAACTTGAGCTCATCCTTACTGGTAATTGATGGGATCATACATTTCAGGAAATAATCATTTACATAGCGGATTAAAGATACGTTAATAGCATTAAAAAAGTAATTGCCCAAATAAAATGACAAGAAAAGCATAAATAACATACTGTAAATCTTTAATATTAGCCAACATGAACTTTATGAAAATGTTTCTATATTCATTTTACAATATTGTAGCACATAAAGGATACTGTATGTAAACTCCAACAATTACTCCTCTTATTTAGTCGCTTTTATTCATTTAAATAGCATGACCGAGCAATTGCCACTGTGCTGAATAGCAAAAAATACCCTGGTCATGAAGGGGGTAAAGCCTACCAGAGGTCAAGTGGTTAAAGTTATGTTTAGGGGCAGACTAACCATTTGGAAACTAGGGCACTGCCCGAGGGCCTGGGGTCAGTAGGGGGCCCCATGAGATATCCCTGGTACCTTTTTCATAGGCTTTTTTGAGTTTGGGCAAGGACACAGGGGCCCCATGATCCCCTATTGCCCTGGCGCCCTATGAGTTGTCAGTCCACCCCTGGTTATGTTTTTAGTGTTATTTCTTCTAGTGTCATGCTGTGTTAGCAGCTGGTTTGGCAGCCAGTGTGAAACAAAATGCCCCAGAACTGATGTCAGTTATTACCTAACACCTGACACCTGCCACTCATTCCTGGGGCTCTATGAAGGAAAAGAGGTGCCATATAAAGCAGTCCTTTGGCATACCAGTGTGACACAGGGGGGAGATTTACTAAGACTGGAGCACTCAGAATCTGGTGCAGCTGTGCATGGTAGCCAATCAACTTCTAACTGCAGCTTGTTCAGTTAAGCTTTGGCAATAAAACCTAGAAGCTGATTGGTTTCTATGCAGAGCTTCATCAACGTTTGCACTCTCCAGCCTTAGCAAATAACCCCCAGAGTGTCTAAGCAGCTAGCACTTCCACCTAACAGCACCAGGATAGTTGGTTCAAATCCCAGCCATGCCACTACCTGCCTAGAGGTTTCATGTTCTGCCTGTGCCTGCCTGGGTTTCCTCCCACACTCCAAAGACATGCTGGTAGGCTAATTAGCTCCTGTCTAAATTGGCCCTTGAATATGTATGAATATGAGCTATGGATTTTAGATTGTAAGCTCCTTGCAGGCATGGACTGATGTAAATGTACAATATATAGTATATGTAAAGTGCTGTGTAAATTGAAGGTGTTATATACAGTAAGTACCAGTAATAAAAAAAAGTCACTAAAAGATTCTGATACATTTTTTGCACTTTGTGTTTGATACTTATTAAAGATTTACAGAATGAAGATGGTTTCTGGGATTATGATACTTCAGTGAACATGAGCCACATGAGACCACGCTATGCATACTTGCACATAGTGGCAAGGCCTGATGCCTATCAGCCATGCTACAGTTCCAATTTAATTAAATCCTTCGTTTAGCCATAATCCTACTGCTCAATTTGGTTAGAGCATTTATCAATTCTCTGTTCCTAAAAGTGTAAATAAGAGGATTAAGGAGAGGAATAAATATGCCATAAATAATGGAGAGAATAACATCTTGATTTGTGAAGAATCCAGAATGAGGTTTGATATATGCAATAAACAATGTTCCATAATAAATTAACACAACAGTGATATGAGAAGTGCAGGTTGATATGGCTTTTCTTTTGCCTTCTGCTGACTTGATATGTGAAATACTAGTAATAATAAAGCAATATGAAACTGCTATACAGATAAAACAGAGGATGCCAGCTATGAGATCTGTTACAAGTGTAAATATTTCATTTGTAGTTGTGTCTGAACATGATAATCTTAATAATGGTGGACTCTCACAAAAGAAATGATTAATCTTAGGGTCACCACAGAATGACAGAGTAAAAGTCAGTGAAGTGTGGACAGCAGAACATAAGGCTCCAACAAGCCAAACATCAATTGATACCTGTACACATACTTTATGGGTTATGGTGATGGTGTAATGTAAAGGTTTACAAATGGCAATGTAGCGGTCAAATGCCATGCAGGTAAAAAGAAGAAGCTCCGCAATCTCAACCCACGAAAACATAAACAATTGGACAGCACATCCATAAAATGTGATTGCAAATGAAGCTATTACAAAGTTATGTAACATTTTAGGAACAGTTGTAGAAATGCAACAGATATCAAGAATTGCAACATTAGCAAGGAAGAAATATAATGGAATGTGCAAACTGGAGCTCAAAGATATAGTAAGAATTATTGCCACATTTCCCATCAATGACATGCAATATATCATGGTAAACACATAAAACAAAAGTGTATCAAATGGCGAATCATACAGAAGTCCATAAAGAAAGAATTGTTCTGGATGAGATTGATTTTTTTTCTCCATTTAAAACAGAAATTGAAACAAGAAACATAACCAGGCAAAGTCTTAAAACACACATATGCACAAATTTAAATGTTATCAAAAAATCAATATAAATTTGTGCTTTCAAAGAACATTCTGTATTTGCTTTTAACTGAATGACATTAAAGCAGCTGCTGCAAACTCAGGACATAGTACACAGTACACAGAAAAAAATATATCTTATGAAGTCTTCAATCTATGTAGTTATGGAAAAGAGAATAATACATCTTCTTCAATATTCACTTTAGTGCTTATCTAGTTAGGAAATGTTAATTTAGTTTAAATATATGTTATATGCTAGTATTTTGCAGGTTATATATGATATAAGTAAGCATACAATGATTTGTGAGTGTTTGCTCACTATAAATATACATCATGTGTCTCTTAGGAATATATCTTTGGAGATATGATTTGTTAGGCAACACATTAATGAATTATAATGAGCAAATTATTTGAAACAACACACCATCTTAACCTTCGGTATGGGAATTGAAACAATTCAGGCAGTCTTGTTTATAATTTAAGCTACAATTTTATTCAAATTGTTTAAACTGAGCATGTGATGAAAAATATTAACAGAATAAGGTAACAATACTCCTACATTAAGTGCATTAAACCAGTGTAAAATCTTCTAATAAAATGTACAAGCTCATTAAGCACTAAAGTGCAGCAAATCAATATGAAATCTTCACTGGTAAATAAAGTGAAAACTTAGAGAAAGTGCAATACTCTGTATGTGAGATGCGGAAACCGCTCTGATTGTTTGAACACTGTTTGTGTGGAAGTAAATTAATGTTTTGACTGACATTCTGCAGGTTTAGCCACAAGATGTCACTGTTTTTCTAACACAGCCTCAGACTGCATAGATATTTGTATATTCATGAAAAAGCGGGGTTTTTGCACACAGAGTTGGAGAAAACAGGAAGAAGAGAGAGAAGCCTATGTTTTGGAGCATGGTGAATAAGGGGCCCTGTGAGCTGAGAATCTGATGACATCCAGGTGTGAAAGTGTCCCTCCGTAACCAGAGCTGCAGCTAAGTGAAGCTGATGAGATTGCTGCCAGGAAGCTGATGAGATTGCTACCAGGAATACTGATGAGAGCAGAGGAACTAAACAACATATACGGCGAGACCGCATGCTTGTTGGAGAGACATTTGTTCTGTTCAGAGTCACCAGCGGATGAAAAGCAGACCCGGGTCGATAAGATTGTGCACGCACCTTATTTCAGTGTTGGCACCTTGAGACCAGGCCTATAGTTAGTTAGTTAGGGTCTCTGTTTGTGTCAGGCCACAAGTGTTGTTACTGATCATTGGAAGGACTCCACAACTTAAAGTGACATTTCACATTGGAGAGCTGATAAAATCCTACAAACTCAAGCCAGACTGGCATTTTGCTCAGAAGGAATACTCAGGCACGTGCTACAGGACCAGTTATGGGAGAGGGAATACTGTAGATTTGTGTAAGATTGTAAGCTGGTGTGCTGCACCGCAGGCTAGCCCATACCGTACACCCATACATGATTCCTGCTCTTTTAGGGTAATAACAGGTAAGGTGTGGCAGCTTAGTTGTGCCCGCCAGTAGGTAAATTACTTCACGTTTTACCTTCATCCATCAGAAGGCGCCGTGCTGTGCAGCACAAGGGTCTCAGCCTTTGGGCTGGGTGTATGTAAATTTATTGTATGTTCCCAGCATTTGTGGTTGTGTTTATTTGCCACATCTAAGTAAAATTCTGTTGTGGCAAAAGCTGGTGTTGGGGTTGCTTTCCTCATTTGTGACTTCACTGTATCCTGGGGAGCCCCCCCCCGGTACACGGCTTACAACTTGGCGTAGTCGGCAGGATACAGAGAACGTTATGGACGGGAATGCGGCGGGAGATCTTCCCCCGGCGCCAATGGCACCGGTCCAGGACCCAGCTCAGGGTGCATAGGTGGAAGACCAAGTTGCCCCAACACCACTGATACAGCTTGCCTCCGCCCTGCCCGTACCAGTAGGGTACGTTCCTGTGGGGCGCTGTTGAGTCACCTGCCAAAATTTGACGGTAAAAATATGACGTTGCAGGACTGGACTGAAAGAGTGCGAAGGTCGGTTAGAATGTGTAATCTTACTTCCGAGCTGCGGGCAGAGGTTGCATTGGGGGCTCTAGAGGGTGACATCAGATGGACAGTGATGGTAAGGCCCGAATCTGAGAGAGACACCCTAGAGAAAATATTCTCCCTGCTGGAGAGAGCCAAGGGGGGTGGGCATGTTTTCAGGGTACTCTACTGAATGAGTTGTACCAACTGTATGAGATTGAACGTTCCCGCACCACCACGTATCACCCCCAGGGAAACGGGGTGTGTGAGCGGTTCAACTGCAACTTGCTCCAGATGCTGCGGACTCTGGAGGACCGTCAAAAAGCTTGGTGGCCCGAATACCTACCTGAACTGATGTGGGCATATAATAACAGGGTACACAGTACCACTGGATACTCCCTACATATGCTCATGTTTGGGAGAGCCGGAAGAGGATTGACGATCTCCACATGCCCGATCCGATGGAGCCACCACCAAGAAATACTACCACATGGGCTCAAGAGCACCGTCGCCGGCTGAGAGCGATCCACAAGGTTGTGAGGGAGCGCCTTAGACAAGTGGTATACCCCAATCCAAGACCAGTGCAGAAGGAGGGGTATGCCCCGGGTGATCGAGTGATAGTCAAAGCCAAGCGGCCGTCTGGAAGTTGCATGGGCGGTGGGAGGCAGTCCCATACACGGTGAAGAGGAGGGTAGACCCTGCCATCCTGGTCTATGAGGTAGAGCCAATAGGGACTGGGGGCCCTCACGAAACTTGCACCGTAACATGTTGAGGCGTTGTAATGTTGATGAACTAGTGTGCATGGAGGGGGTGGCTCCTCCTGCTCAGAGTACTGAGGATATCCCCTTAGAGGAGGGGGAGGAATGGTGGGTTGTCCCTGCCCCAGTACCCACACAGAGGCTCCAAACATAGCAAGTTTGCCATCAAGGGAAAGTGTTGAGCGGTCAGCAGCTCCTCTCCCATGAAATGTACCTGACGTCACCAGTGCTTCTGAGCCTGTCACTCTACGAAGGTCAACAAGGCCTAATGCTGGGGTGCCCACACAGCGTTATGCCCAGAATGAGTTTGTATGGGGAGGATTGCCGAGGACGACAACCTCTAGTGGGGTGGCATGTGAGATGGGGAAACGGCTCTCATTGTTTGAAGACTGTTTGCACCAGCAGAT